CGCCAAGGTCAAAAACTAACCTTTTCCACTCGTATGATCACGTACGGTAAATCCACCTCCAGGATTTCGTGTTGAAACGAGTTTCCAGTCGGAAAGACTTGAGAAGTAAAACCCGCAGGTTAAGTTGTCGAAAGAACAAAAGTAATCTAATAAAAAGAAAGAATGATATTGAATTAATAACTGAAGAGTTACAGCAGAAACCGTTGCATCGCGACTTCAACGTTCAAAAGAAATGTTTAGGATTTAGGTTTTTTCTGCGACTTTGGACAGGTTTACGATAAGCTCCGCCCCTTGGATCCAAGGAAAGAACAAAATCAAAACAGACTTCGAAACGAAGAAAAGGCCTTCCCACACAAGGCTTACGTACCGTTAGTTTCGCATGAAGCATAGGTCGAAATGTCGTCAATGCACAAACTTTTTCGCTGAAAACGTCCATTCGCTTTGACGTTTTCGAAAACGATCTAAAAATAACACAATTTGATTAACGCATTATAATACACTCTAAATCAAAGTAACAAACGAATAGATAAAACAGCGAACAATAACCGCTTTTGAATTAGAGGACGTTTTCAATGCAAATAAGTGTGTGATCACGTGAGAAACTAACCGTGAAATTGTTGTTAGGTCCTTTTATCGGTACTGTTGCTTTCTGCCATATACTTTTATGCTTTCCAGTAAGCTGGAATATTCGCTGGTCTTTCCCTTGAATTCTCTTGTATACGTTTAGAGTCCCCATGTTTGTGAAATATATGTAATAGTAAAATGTCAAGCATCTTACACCGTTCAATAATGGGCTTACAATTTGATTTTTTGTGCCGGCTACATCACCACTTTGAAACTGGGACATCATGAAGTATCCTAATGATATAAAAAATAACATGCTACATTAAGAACACTTCTATTATATTTATAACGAACACCGGTACATTACGGACCATTTTCCTCCGCACGTATTGCTTATTGATGGTTTACAACCATTCCCATGAGAGTGAGCAAAACAAAAAGGTCCACCAGTCACGGTGGTGGTTTTCTTTTGTCAGGTCCACCAGCAATGGCGGACATCTTTTGTTTAACTTTCTCTCCTGGGAATGGTTGCAAACCATCAATTGGTGGAGAGACGACGAAGTGCCGCGACAGTGCCCACCCCACGGAAAGGTACCATATCAGTGCATAAACCCGACTCTCATAAAATTTTGTTGTTGGATAATAAAAAAACAATATATAGAGGTGTTGAAATCTCTGGCATTTTGTTGTGGTAGTTCAAGATAGAGTTGCCTTTATAAAGTGGAAGTTCCTAAAAACTTCATAGTCGTCCTCGAAGTGCGTTCTCGGGCTACTACTTTTTGGGAACATCCAAAAAGCACTCAGCTACGCCTCGGTGGGCAACTATGAAAGCAATATGCCCTCGATTCAACTACTCTATCATCAGTTAAGGGTGTACTGACATATCCGTTGCTAGGGAAATTCAGTAGTTCTCTAAAATGACAAACAAAAGTAAAATCGCTTTCGTATTGAGTATTGCTCGTTTTCAATCATCCTCATGAGATTCAAAAGATAAAAGACCGGCGGCCATGTTGGTTGAATGAACAATAGATACTAATTAGAAATCCTTTGTTGAAGTTCAACCAAGATGGCGGCTGTGACGTATATTGCAAACGAAGAATTAAGCCTTCCAAAACAAAAATAACACATTCTATGACGTCATTGAATGACGTCATCGCGTGACGTCATTAATACGAAAAAATGCTATAATTTCATCAAGCAAAGTATATTGAACGATTTAAAATGGATGAAATTAATCTTTAGATTTAAGTCCGTAAATCCAAGCATGCGTTTTTAGAATGATTGCCTAATAAGCTTTTTACGATTTTTTAAATGCCACAAATAAGCGAAAAATGCCAATAACTTTCGTATTTTTTAATTTTTCGCCAAACCCATGAAGAGGAGGCTGTGAAGAACATAAATATTAAAAAAAAACACGTCCATTTGATGTTTCGCACCGAAGATTATATTTTTTAAATGATACCATACATTTTATGTAAACAAAAACCTTTCCACCGGAAGTAAAAATTTTCCCGCCATGAAAACGAGCGCGCGCCCGCTTCTCCGATTGGCTAGCATCGGCTAGCATAGCAACCAGGTCGTCTAGAAACGGATACGACAGTACACCCTTAAATAGATCCGCAAGTATTAAATGCCATATTTGGGGATGTGATAGCTTGGCAAACTTTGATGAGAAGAATATGCATCAACACCATATTTGGTTATGTATTTATGTATGAAATACCATATTTAGTGGTGTGATCACCACTGGGGTTCCAGAAGCTAGTACCACGGCTCCTCTTCCAGTTTGTTGTATTTCCAGTTTGTTTGTATCCGCACATTGATGTCTCAAAGGTGCAGCTACCTCGATCTTAAAGATAACAACGATATATCAAATACTGATAGATTTATAACCAACTAATATGAGAAAACTCGTGTAGCGATTGGCTACTGTGTTATTAGGATATCACTGATATCACCTCTTAATATTCACCAAACCATGGTCTAATTACAAATCCAGCACTCTGATTGCCTACTGAACTAAGGCATATTTATGATAGACCATGTTCACATCGAATGGAGTGAAAATGACGAGAATCATTGCTTTCCTAGACAATTCGTGCTTGTGAACCACGAGTTGATAGTCAAATCAGCCGAGGAAGGCCTCATAGACTATAAGCTCGACGTACAGTCAATATTCCGGAGTAAACAAAAAATACTCGCCGGATTTTTTGATACAAAAAACGTGCGAAGCGATTCAAATACCTTCTGGGAATATTCTGTCTTTCATATTGGATGGTTGAAGAATACACGAATCTGATGACTGCCCCCAAGACTTTAGTGCAACAGGGATCTCAGGCTTGGCCAAGAAATGTTGCGCAATAAAAACAAGCTAAAMATAAAATAAAATTATACTTAAAAACATGGTCGGATTCTTTTTTACATGACATAGGTTTCTAATTATTCATGGTACGTAACCGTACGGGGTATCTTATTGMAAATAGTACCTCGATCGGTTTGCTGCCTTTGTAATTAATAGGAATTTGAGCAGATTGCCATACTGGATTATAATTGCCTTCAGACACAGACCAAACTAGGTTTAAATTCCTGTAGTCGCTTCCAACTTCGTGAATTAAGACGTCGAAACTTCCAGGCATGTATTCGCTTCTAAAGTATCTGAAGGACACGCAACGGACTCCTTTTTCCAAGRCAGGGCTAAGTAATCTAGCAATCATCCCATTACTTTCAAAACCTCCAGAATATTTGCCTAACCAGATTTTTTCTATAAATGAACGAGAAAACGAATGATAAATAGTTGAATATTTGAATGAATATGGCTGTGAGAATGCATGGATAAATGAAGAAATGTGAAAAAGCATGAATCATGAAATTAAGAATAGATGAATGAATGTGAAAACAATAGACAAATAAATAAACCAACAAGTTCAACGGATGGATGGAGAGATGGAAGGATGGGTGGAGGGTGGTCCAGCAACGAATGGATGAAAATAAGGCTGAGAGGGACGGAGGGAGAGACAAATCGAGGGATGGAACCATAAATGGAAGACAAAATGAATTCAGTTTCACCTGTATACTGCCAGTCATAGTTATCAGCARAAAGCGTCTTGTCGTTCTTGAAGCCACATTTCCCAGTAGAGAATGGACAATTAATCACTGYAGATGAAATAAAACTGCGAGTTAGCATTCTAGCAGAGTCTAGTAAAAAACACCAAAAACCCCATTTAAAATTTGAATCGTATGACTTCGCTATCGAAACAAGATATGTATAGCTAAGTCAGAAAACACATCCTGAAGCGCTCCATAAAGAGGGCGGGGAATTTCCCTTTTTTAGGAGTTTAAGTTTCAAGGTCATCGCTGATGGCGATTCACCATACGACATGTGATCAAATCTAGCCTTTCGCGAGTCTCTAGGACCAACACTCGGCTGTGCATCGTGTTAAAACAACATCCTGGAAATTGAATTAGATACTTAAGATAGCGCTTATGTATGCTGTTTCTCACACCTACCAAAACTAACTGGAATTGTGGTTGCTGGAGCGAGGGTTGTTGGGACAGCTCCGGATGCTCCATCGTTACATCGATCTTTATTGCAGCAATCCAGTGTACAGTTTTGGACTCCACCTGAATAATTCGCTGCTTTGCATAATCTCTCTCGAGTAGCAGCGTTGCATATCGAGTTGTGAGAACAGTTGCGTGATTCTGAATTTAACTGTACGACGGTCCCGCCAGGCATAGTTATTGACTGTTTCACTCTACGAATTAAACATAACTTATCATATAATTTTATCTATATGAAATACTATATTTCTCTCTTTCGAAAAGCCAAAACATTATAACTACTTGAGTTTCCCAATCATCATGTGTAATATAAGTAATGTTGGAGTATAGACAACATTATCAATTACCTGGACGTTAAGCATCTATTTGCAYYRAGAAAACCTCCAGCAACCTTTCCACAAGTAACGACCTTGGGAGGAGCGCATACTGGGGCGGTGATAGCAGGACTACCYGAAACCTTGTTGCACTTGTAAACGTAACATTGTAGAGCAGCACCTTTTGGGAATAAATGGAACTTTGTGTCTCTTTCAGGGCTAGCTGATTTTGCGTTTTGCGCAGCGCGGTCCAGGGGACTCAGGAGGCGCCCACCGCAAACTCTAGTTAACTTTTGTCAACATTCTAGACATGCGCAGCAATGTCTATGGTCGATGTATACCCTCTAACATTTACCCCGTACAGCGCTCCCTGATAAAAATTTCGAATCTGCTTTTGTGGCTTTATTATTATAATGATATCATAGTAATAGCAGTATTGATAGCCATAATAGTAAAAATAATTATTATCATTAATAATTAATAATAATAATTAATAATAATAATAATGATAATTTAAAATAATAATCTTTATTTCTCATCAATCTTTTAACAATAATATAAAAACTAATAAATATTTACAAATCTTAATCATAATCTAAAATCACCAATTTATTGGCGTCTAAAAATGTTTATAATTATATTACAAAATATGTTATACGCCTAGTTTTGCGCTTGGTTTGACTATTAGAAACACTCTCTATAAACGATGAATATTCCTTTAATTCGGTAGCTGATTGCTAATACACGTGTGTCGAGTGTTGTCTCCTCTATCTATCTGTCTATCTTGTTACACCATGCGCTCTAACCACGTGACAGTTCATACACGTCACACAAAACAACGCAATGGAAATACAGAAATTGAGTCAAAAGAGTAATAAAATGATGATGATAATAATAACAATAATAATAATAATCACCAACGATTATGATTATGATTATTAATTAATTAATCGATTAATCTAATGATGACGTTACGCACTGAGCTTCCGATTTTTTCGTTTTATTCCTTGAGAAAAATCTAACCGGTTTACAATTAATAAACAAAACCTTCGATAGTAAAAGCGTGAATCCACTTACCTTCATTTATATAGCAGGCAAGCAGAAGTAGAAGGAAGTTGAACGACCACTCCCAAGACATCTTCTTCTGCAAGGTCAAAGCAAAGAAATGGTTTATGATTATATTTATGTATCATATTAAATCGTTACTTGCTTGTTGTTTTTAATATTGTTTACACTGAAKGCAAAACACAGATTTCCGATCACTCCCACAGAAAGGAAATCCGTGTTATTGAATCTCKGCATGKTYAGAGTACGTGCTTTAGCACAGTCCATCGCGCAAAAACAATTGAAAGCATGGTTTGGTGTGAGCAAGCATTATAGACARTAGGATTTACATCTGTATAGGCTCATTCAAAATATTGAAACGATTACAATGAAATTGCTTGATTTAAAGACGTCATTTCCTGTTTTGTTGTATTTCTCCGCTGAACTCTTTCAAAACAATMGTTTACTTGAAGGCTCGGTTCAACACAGTTAGGATGCTCAATGACCGTGATCGACTACASCTATTGTAGCATAAATTGTTTTTACGAAGAAAATAAAACGCCTACGGGAAACGATGGGCTTGCCCGGATCTCCTGCCTCTCTTTGTCAAACATGCTCGACAAATCAGTCAAGGACTTTCTAAATGCAATATGYCTTCCACTCGGAAGAAGTAATAATCTTTCGAAATGAAAACAAGGTAAACATTGTCACTTTTCTTATCTTTATAAACAAATAAAACTTGATAAAGATAAATACCACTGTTTTCAAACAAATCTATACAAATCCATAGACAAATTAATAATCGTCCCMAGTATCTAGCGTCCAGAAGTCCCTAGGTGCTAACGAGGTTTTTAGACCTGTAGTTGTTGCTTGCAGGTGTRCATAATYATACCGTGGATACCAGATTGGACTTTATRCTTTCTCATATACTTTGAGGCTGCACGGCCGAAACGGTCACGTCCTGACAATAAGCTATAGGATTGATTCCAATCTCTGGTATCCAGRCTAGCATAGCCACAAGTATGGACCAAAAATATRCTATTAAAGCTGTAATTTATATGTTTTTTTTGTTATCAATAGCCAGAAATATATACAGTTTTTAAAAAATGCTGTTTTGTTATGGTTGAAATGGCTAATATAACATAATTGCTCTAGGCAGAATTCGGTTTTTCCTCAAAAGAAACGTCCATTCATCGACATTCATCTTTTTTTATGGCTTCAAATCAGAGTGATTTGTTTACCGAGTGACCTTGGCGGGACATTAGTTGTCATTGTGTCAGTGAATAACCAAGTTATTTCCAAAACAATCCGTTCAGAATGACACATGGTAAAAGAGCACAGGACTTTTTTCCAAATCATAACATGTCATAAGATTAGGGAAGCAATTTTGTGTATTATAGGTGTGTTATGTTGTCGAAGTTTGCATGACCAAAAGTGCTTGAAAAAAACTTCCATGGTCAATGACATAATACCGGCATAAAATTGTTTGAAAGAACTTAATCGATACATATCCAAATATTTTGGAATATTCCTCGTTACCCAAGATAACCCAAAATGAGGTGTAATATGTCGTTTAAGTTTTGGGACGGTATTCAAACGAAACAGCTCTTATTTGCCTAAGCTCATTTACTTACACATGCATGTGTTGTCGATGTCTTGAGAAACAGATCTATCGGTAGTTGAACCAGACTGAGCCCACCAGACAACAAAAACTTCAAAATACAGTATTGAACTCAACAAAAATTCAAAAACAAATATCGTACGCACGTTGATCAAAATCTTCTACTTCACGTCTAAAATCACATGACACTTAACAATACCTCATTAGCTGTAGCTCATCAARAAGAAACAGAATTTATCGAGTTTCTTGGCTGCTACGAGAGACGACGACAGAACTTTGTTGCCGTTTACTGCTAGAGATGAACTTAATTCAGAAGAACTTGTATCGTTGCCAAGTTCCGGTTTGATCGTACCGAATGCTGGTCCGTGTGGCTCAGTGCTGCAGCTGATAGCCCRAGAGCTCTATTATTCCTCGCTGGGTTGGAGTCTGTCAAAAATGCAAATGACTCGGTTCAATAAACGTGGGCGCAGATTGGATTCAATGATGCATATATRTAAAGAGCGTCTCAGAAAATTATGACAGGACCTTTGCCCATCGTGGATAACGATCTCTCGGCTCTCTTAGCATGCGCTCATGCCGGCGTGTTGGTGTACGGAGGAAAACGGTGGAAACAAAAGAATAAGTTTGAAAAAAAACCTAATTTCATCCTGCTTCCAGATTCTTAGTCTGCGCCATAAAGCATAAGACAAGGACATAACGATATCTGAAGTGTCAGCGACTCGTGTTTGTGCTTATGTAATAATGCGAATACGCTTTCTCAGGCTCCGGACGACATACTTTTTCTGAAAACATAAACGATTTTTTCCGGACGAWTTTTTAAATACTTCAAAAAATATCATTAGGAGTTCTTTTTGGATTTTGTTAAAAAGCATGCACCAAACTGGTCAAGAATCACTTGTTGTATTTTTTCTCCAAAGCCAAATTCAGACACCTCGCTGAACTGAGACTATATTCATTCTACTAGAAGTTGCTTTCAGTTAAAGATATAGAGGATATTACATGATTACATGACGAGTGAGAGATTTTCAACACGAGAAGATAAAATTCGTATCTTCAAGCGAACATGTAATATTCTATTTATCATATAATTGTAAAGTGAAAGCAAATTATGTCGTAAAATAGCTTTTTTCACATAGAGAAATCCGGACTAAAAAAATGTCTTATTTTAACTAGTGAAAATATCAAGTTTACGAAATGGAGAAATATAATTTCATAAATAATTATATGATAAATTAATTTCTCTTTTTACGTCTACTAGATAAATGTTTCAAAATACGAAAATGACCATAAGCAGTAACCGGACGAACATACCACAACGTACTGTATAAGTACAGTCACATGATTTCACGTTACAGTTTATACTAGTTTCAAATTTCTCTTTTGTGCAAGTTTAGTTTCAAATGAATCAAGCATAAAGTTTTATTGTCTTCTTTGTACACAGAGTGTTTGAATTACAATAGAATCTCAGCTGAATAAAGAATATATTACATGCTTTTGAGGTTAAGGCTACACAAATAAGATTTCGAAAGTGGAATAAATATAAGTTAAACTATTTTAGCCGTCCTTCATCTGTGCATTGCTCACATGCTTCATCTGCTTCTAGCACAATTTTATCTTGATAAGTGTTGTCTAGAGTATTAAAATAGTATATGTTCTCATAAATCCGTCACTAAAGGTTATTGGGGGTGAATGGGCGTGAGCGTTTCACATCCTGAATTGCTTCTATGACCTTCGTGAAAACACACTTTTGACACTTATTCATTAATACTCAA